TTTGCAACAATTTTTCACTAGAAGAATAAATAATTTTTTCATTGTTTTAATTGTTTATAAGTTCTTCAAAAGGGACCCCCTACAGACACCATATTGACTGTTTTAGCACGCTCTTCTAGGGTCAAATGCCGCATGCAGTGTATTTTTTTCTGATTTTTTAATTAGTACAAACATGAAGAACACAGACACAAAGAAAAAAATAGAAATTTATTCCTCCAAAAAAGTGTGGATACGATTTCGCGGGTATGTTAAGGAAGCATATAAGTCAATTCTCTGGAAATTTAGACTTTTTAAAGAAGTTTGATAATTTACCAAAACCGCTGATAAATGTAAACTATTATTATCTATCGCATAAAGATAAAAGAGTGTCTAACGCAAAGACGCGCACCACCACCTCGGCATCACGTGACTTCTATTAATAGCGAAATTTTCCTTAGTAAAAAAGCTAACAGAACAACAATACCCCGAAGTGTAATAATTTCTTTGAGTAAATAATATAGTTGGAAAACATCTATTTTGCCTAAAAAGTGCTGCTAGAATCCCACTGTCCCGTCAATAAAATAATAATTCCACACATTCGCACGAAACCTTACCCGATGTTTTGAATTTTATACATATAAACCGAGATTTTTCGTAAAACCATGCTTAACTCGGGATTCTAGCAGCACTTTCCAAGTATTTTAGGAGGCAAACTTTCCATCTGTACAAATCTTATGTTTTGAAATATACAGCTTATTGTTGTTCTGCTGCATTATTTTTGTCACAAATGACAGAGGAAAGGCCGACCGGGAACTGACTGTCTTCGAAGAGAATACAATCGATGAAAATAAATTAGCATACCTGTTTCAGTAACTGAACTCCATATAAATTTCACAAAATATTCAGGATATTTGTTTTTAAACTCCATTTTACGTATCTTTGTACATGCCGTCTTAGCCAAATTCTCTTTACACGACATGATCAATTCCCAAGTTGCTTGAAGTACACATATGACGTCATCGGTGGTAGATTTTAATCAAAAAAACAGATACAGCATTACAAATAGGGAATTGCTTTTTTTAAGAAGATGTATTAAAAGCCATTTAGTCAATAGAGATATGGAAGCATCTTCAGTAAGTGCAGATTCAAGTTTGTTCGAATCAAGCCCTGAAGGGGGGGGGGGGTAGGTTGGGACCCCCGAATTAAGATTTTTTTTATTCTTTGGACTAGTTAAAAGCATGAAATTCACTTTTTAACTGCAAGTGAACAACACACTAGGATTTAGTGAGGATACAAACAGCTTTTCTTGAACTGAAACTATATCAGAATAGACATTCTTACCGTATTGTCACCGTTTAATATAACATTACTCTTAAGCATAATATGTTTTACAGTTTCATTATTGTACAAACTTACATTTTGATGAAACCGTATTTCAGATATAAATAAAACAAGAGAAAATATTTGAAGAACTATTTATGATGTAGGATAAAAATATTACATGGGGTTAATTCTCCCTGTTGATTCGATACGCATGCGCATGCTCTACTTACGAACATTTTTTAAACGAGGTAAGCTATTGACAAACAAGTTGATGAAACAGGAAATGAACAGTCTCGTTAAAGTCATCATTTCGCAAGTTCTATGGTCGATCCAATTACCCTTGTCAGCAAATACAATCTATCATTAAGTCGAATGCTGACTGACATTTTTCATACTAGTTCTTAGGCCCTTATTTACTCACTAAACACTAATCGTTTTCTCGATCATGACAAGGAGCACACGGCGGGTGTGACCGGTCGACAGGGAATGTTTACCCCTCAATGGCACCTGATCCCAGATCTGATGATTTAGTGGTCCGTTTTTGCTCTGCTCCCGATTTGAATTGTTTCAATGGACTTTTGAGCTTGAATACTGTTCGTTATCTCCATATATCATTTTGACCACCGTATATGTATCGCTGCTGCTGGACAGTCTGTCACCGAGGATACTTGCCGTTCGGTACTTCTTCATTCATGAATAGTACACAATATGAGGAAATGATACTGGCAGAAGCGTTGATCAGTGTAAGAAGGCGTCACTCTTTTGAGTCTAAAAGGGACTTAGACTCGAAGAGTTCAATCGGTGTCCCTCTGGTAATCATCAAGGATATTAAACATATGTCATATGTGCAATCTTCAGATTCCTAGTTTTTGTATAAAACCAACAGTTCATACATGAAATTGAGGGAATGTAAAGTTTCTATTAGATAAATTTGAAGATTCCTTTTCCGATCCCATGTCTTCTATTTCAAATTAGACACATGTATTCTGTCAAAACCTATAAAACATGTGGTGTTTTGATTGCAAGCTCTTCTTTTACTAGTAATCTTACTGGACAGAGCTTCTATACCAGAATTTGGTAAAATCTGAACTGCAAATCCGCACGATTCTTTGGCAAGTGAGTTAAGGCTAGGTAGAGGCATTTCTATGTGAATGAGCGAAAAAAAAAAACCACATTAGAAATAAATTTAATGTACAGAAAAAGTTAAATTCATTTTCTTATACATACTTAGTAACTACGAATTATTATAGCCAGTACACATTCTGAAGTCATATTTTCGCGTCATTGTTCTTTCCTTCTCGAGGTAATAGACCACATCAACAAAAAACTTCTGGGCAAGGGCATATTCTATTTAATTTTTGCATTAATAATGTATGATAATGCTAAGAATAATATTTTTTAAGAATTTAAGATTGCTGCACTTTCACGTTTGATCAGAACTAGAGGAACCTAACACTGAACTGTGTATCTTTACCCCACTTCAACTCAAAAACTTTACAAATAGTAACTAAACGATTGAACTGTCGATATCTGTGCAGCAATAAGCTAAGTCCTTGCAATATTCTACTTCTAATAATGCCTTGCTTCTGTAAAATAATGGGGCGTGCCCTTGGGCAAGAGCTATTTTTAACATAGTGTAGTTAAGATCAATGTCGTCGTAATATAACGTCACATTGTGTACTGGTTAAAACATATGGGTACCATGTAGGTATTAGAAAATAAGTTTTCATCTTTTCTGTATAATAGGTATAGCCCCTATGCGATTTAATAAGTCCATTTGCATAGAAACACCTATATCTAGTCATTACTCACTTGCGTACAAGAAAGTCGAATTTTTCTCACTAGGTTCTTGCACGAAGGTCACACGTTTTTCACGTGCTTCACAGTTGCTCATACCTTTGAAATACCATATCTATAATGCAAGATAGGAGAAGCACATCTTTTGCCTTAATGCATTTTGTTTAACAAAATCTTTACAATGTATCAGTTTTCAATAGAATTATGTACCCAGGTAATCTCCAAGTGGTAATACTTTTGATTAAAACAAAATATTTATAGTTCCAAGTTTTATTTACAACAAATACAAGTTTTAAAAGCTATGATATGCATAGAGAATTAAGCAGGTGTAGGACCTATATTTAAACAAATAAGTCAAGTCTATCATATTTTTTTTTCATATTTTGCATATTATTAACTTAGTATATCCTATGAATCTAAGCAGATCAATCAGCATAAATCTAGCCTTATTTAAGATATATCAACCTACAAATCGTACACATGTCTGTATAAAGTTTTTTCTGCTACATGCTTACGGGTCTTATATTCTGTTAATAATCATATTATTTACGCACAAAAAAAATGTCTCTCTTCAAATATTTAATCTATTGGATTCATTATGTACTTCTCAAAACAACGTTAATTTAAAAAAAAAAAAAAAAAAAAAAAAAAGACATTCAAAATTTTAATATTTCTAATGGAATTTAAGTCTTCTATATTAGTAATTAATTGAAACAGTGTCAAAAAATGACGATTACCTCAATATTGTACACATCATCATTAAACTCAACGTACATGTCATACTGCGAATAAAAAGCCACATGTTTACCGAGTAATGAAGCAACTATATGACATCACACACAATCTTTACAAGCAATATAAGATAAAACTACAAAAAAATAAGCTAACAACCACTCAAAAACTGTGAAAGTGCTCTCTATTTCAAAAAATGCATCACCATGCGCAAACATCACCTGTTTCATCTGATATTATTACATTTTCAACAATAAAATTCTGTAATTTATTTATTGAATAAAAGTGATATTCTGACACAGTGTGAAAGGATATCAAAATGGTACTCTCACACTGTGAGAGAATAACAGAAGTGCGGCAATGCTCTCGATTTTCCTTCCCTTCACGAAGAGTGTTTAAAAAAAAAAAAAAAAAAAAAAAAAAAAAAAAAAAAAAAACCTTCCTTGCATGTTATAAGATAGAGAGAGTAGATGAAGTGTTTTCTTTTTTTCACGTATAAAATTTTGGACAAATTCTGCTTCATATGAATACAAAAATAAACGTCTGCTAATAACGGGGCGCAATTGGTATGTATGTATTCGAAAACGGTTGAAATGTAAAACTATGTTAAGAAAACAAATGCATCTTTTTGCTAAAATGGTCTCCTAACTACTGCATGTATCCAAAACGTCCGAGGTATCTTCATCTTGTGAGTTTTCACTGTTTTGGTCCAAGTCTGTTAAGTGTTTCAAAAAAAAAAAAAAAAAAAAAAAAAAAAAAAAAAAAAAAAAAGAAGAAGAAGAAGAAACAGAAATTAATGTATTAAAAATACTAAGGTAAAGGTATATTGTTATATCTCTTGGAAATAGTCTCAAAATCCCAAGACCCGAATATAAAGTATAATATAAATCCTATGAGAATATAATTTGGATTGTTTAAACTGTATGTATCTAATGATGCTTGGTCAATGAATGAAGAACGTTGTCATATTTGATAAATTAATGACGTTTCTAGTGATGTGTTTTCAATAAATGATGTATTTAGTAACGCTCGTTCAATAAATAACATACCTAGTGACGTTTGATCAATAAATTACGTACCTAGTGGCGTTTGATCAATAAATGACATACTTAGTGACGTTAGATCAATAAATGACGCACCTAGTGACGTTTGATCAGTAAATGACGTACCTAGTGCCGTTTGATCATCATCATTGTTCCATTCACATCTGTTGAATAGTAAATTGGAGGATACCAAGGTTTAATCCAGTAGTAACGATCAGCCCAGGGACCGTTCAGGAAGGCGTTGTGACAGGTGTTAAACCACCAGCCCCCTCTATATTTTAAGGCACAATGACTTATATCCCATGGGTCATTGTCTCTGTTCGGGGTACTGAAGTACATCCCAGACAGAACGAGAGCTGGGTGCCCAGGGTTTAACATCCTGTCACCTGTAAAATAAAAAGAAAATAAAACAATATCTTAAAAATAAATATATTAAATAGTTCATCCAGACAGATCAAGGATAAGAAAATACTCTGATTGATGAATCCACGCCCTCTCGCGCAATAGAACTTGGCAACAGTCAACATTGTTTGTCCACATGTGATATTACAAAAAAATAATTAAAAAACAGATATATCGACTGCACGGAATCAATCCGCGTCCGCTTTACCTTATTTGAAATTGTATAAAACATTTAGTAAAATATAATAAATATCTCATGTAATTTAGGATTTCCCTTTACAAAATTGGTTTGTTTCTCATATTTATATTTTGTGGCTGCTAAAACTATATGCCATTGTTAATAATACTTTTGAGAATTTCAAACAAATTATTAAACGTAACAAAGGTGGCAACACACGACAAACTATTTTACAGACTTTCTTATTCATTAAAGGAGGATAAGATATGGTGTTCTAGTGATGAGAGGATTATGGAAAGAAATATGCAATTTAATGGGTAACTGGGCTATCAAAATACTTATTGCATTAATGTAAATAAATTTAAGTTTACTTAGATTTTTTTTATTGTAATCAATGAGTGTCCTCCATGAATGTGCAAGTCTGAAATATTGTATAGTGATATATTATATAATGGTCAGTTTGTTTCATGTCTAAGGAGAGGCAGAGATTGACCAATCAAAATCTAACAATTAATATTCCGGCCACGCGGTGCGTCACTCTGCCTCTTCTCCCATATAAACAGACTTGGAGGACGGACGTTTTTTTCAGGTTTGTTATTAACCTCCTTCCACCCCGCCTCCGCCAAAATTTTGGTTGTAATGTTATATTTTAAAGCGTTTTCAGACCCATTTTCATGATTTTTCTGTTAGGTCTAAGTTGTAATTACTGGAAATTTGGATTATCTCCCTTTACAAAATTGGTTTATTTCTCATATCTATATTTTGTGTCTGCTAAAATTATATGCCATTGTTAATATTACTTTTGAGAATTTCAAACATATTATGAAACGTCACAAAGGTGGCAACACACGACAAACTATTTTACAGACTTTCTTTTCATTAAAGGAGGATAAGATATGGTGTTCTAGTGATGAGAGGATTATGGAAAGAAATATGCAATTTAATGGGTAACTGGGCTATCAAAATACTTATTGCATTAATAAGTATCAAAATACTTATTGCATTAATAATAATAATAATAATAATAATAATATATATATATATATATATATATATATATATATATATATATATATATATATAATATAATATAATATAATATAATATAATATAATATAATATAATAAAAAAAAAACAAGACAGCACTAAACATTTTCATCTTTAGGACGACATAGCTTCTCTCTCTTCCTCTCTCTTTCTTTTCTAAGGTACATTTAAAACACATTTCTACCTGTCACGTACCTAAGGTTCCCGTGGCATCTCCAGCCAGAAAGAGTTTATACTTCTCTCCTTCGTCGGAAATGGAGAATCGTTCGTACAACTCGTACAGTGTTGTACCATTTTCTAGTGTGATAGACACATACAGGTAGGACTTCTTTCCCTTTGTTAACTGATGAATAAGGTTATTTCCTGTTTTAAGGTAAATTTGAAATCAGTTTATATGTGCAATTCAAGTGATTTCTTTAATTGTTAATGAATATATCTAAAGGAAGATTTAATTTATATTCGAGAGCAGTTTTATTATATCTCACACTTCATATCTATCGTGATGAGTTTTTGGTTTCTTTTTGAAGACAAAAGCTAAGATGGTCGTTCATTTGAATTTCTGTTTTCCTTATTTTGCTTTCATCAATATGCATATTAAAACAAAAACGCATCAATCAATAAACGTAAACTTAATATCATCCAACAAAAATTTTCGAACCATTGACTCCTTGTGTTTTATATATCGTTACAAACATTCCAAAATTTGGAAATCAATGATGAAGATTTTATCAAATTCAGATTTACCAATCCAGACATTCTGGCCCGGTTCACCAAAACCATTCTTATATTCTTTCCAACTCCTTTGAAAGTTTAGAGATCCATCTTTTCGGTTTTGGATAACCTTTAAAAGATATAAACGTACATTCATTTAATTCTAGAAAATGAAAGTTGATGTTTTTCTGTCTAGAGTTGATGCTTTGAACCAAGAAGTCACACCTTTGAATAGCACTCATTCTTATGATGCATGTTACTCCTCGGAGGAAACAAATAAAACATTTAATACATGTATAAATACTCTGTTGAAAGCCAATTTTGAAGCTTAAATAAATTTTATAGATACCGTCCAACCTCCGTCCATTGTCTCCATATCACAGTAAACTCTGACTGGACAAGAGCGGGCCCCAAAAGGATAAATTTCATACACACCTGAACTAGTGTGACCATTATCACGAACGTCTTTACAATCCATAGGAAGAACTGAAAATGAAATGTTGAAACATTTGACATTTTTATTTAAAATTAGAAAAAAGTGAAAATTACGGCGACGCAAATGAAAATTCCATATTTCTAATTCCTAAAAAGGTACCAAGTATACACAATTTGAGCTTAATTTTTAGATTATATTTTACAATTTGCGAATTGTACTACTAAGCTGATATTTTCAAATGTTTTTCTTTTATTTTTATTGTAAAGCAGTGTGAATATTATATACTACGAGAAAATTGGTATAATGTACAGAATTTAAAGAAACTCTTCACAAAAAAACCTGGGTTTTTGATAATATTTTCGTTGATCGCTAGGATCCTCGGACGTAAAACCTCGAACAATCAGTAAATTGAAATTACAAAGATTGAATTATTTTAAAAATAGATGTTTTTATAATTTTACAGATAATTGTTTTTTTTTAATTTTAAAGATGTTCTCGTTTATTTCAGTTTGAGTTTATCCATTATAGGAAAACAGCAATACATACACTTATCAAAATAGTACCTCCACCCTGCCTCATCAGACATTTCAGATGTACAGTTGAACTGAGTGTGGACTCGGCACTTCTTCAGTTTAGGATTGTATCCAAAGACACCGCAATCCTCTTGACACATCGCGGAACAAACACATGTAGACTGAGCATTGTATTCGCCCAAAAGTTCGTCATTAAACTTTTTATTATCAAAGTCCAGTTTTGCGGTATAATTCCAAGAAACATTGGTGGCTTGGGACCATGTAAAGAAGAAAACATTCAAACAGATGATACAATCATGATAGTTCATATTGCACTGTGGGTTTAACACCAACTTCTGTGTTCCTCTAAGAATCCGAAAATTGATGTTTTAGCTTACAAGTACTTGTATAAATACCAGTCTAAATTTCTACGGAAAACTGATTGGTTAACCGTTGTAATTTTGTATTTTAATATTGTAGAAATATTGATATTCTGAACGAAAGGCAATACACGGATAGCTTAGGGATGAAATCTTACACAGAGGTACATATTCAGAGAAGTATTGATGGCATAATCATAGGGTACCTAATCTATAATTTTAACATATTAGTCTATCATTAAGTCAAATGTTGACTGACGTTTTGCATACAAATTGTTAGGCCATAATTTTCACACTGATTGTTTACGGATTTTTCCGTTTGCCCGATCATGACAAGGAGCACTCGTCGGATATGACCGGTCGAAAGGGGATGCTCACTCCTCCATGGCACCTGATCCTACCTCTGATATTTTTAAAGGTCCGTGTTTGCTTTGTTCCAATTTCGTACTGTTTCAAAGGATTTTTGAGCCTGATTTCTGATCGTTATCTTCATATGTCTTTCTTTTAGCTAAGCCTGAATTTCTATGCACGTAGAATTAATCATGAAACATTATGTGATAAAGTGTAGATTGAGTAGACCTTTCAAACCAGACAGGTTTTTTTCTTAATAACAATACTAGAAGGGCATATACGATGATAAGTTGCCGATTTTTGTCTATTGAGGACACTGATTTTGGATTTATTGCAAGTAGTAAGAGTTCAGTAATTATGGGAATTTCCAGCATCAATGTGCAGAATGTTCCTGATGCTAATCATAGCATTTTAAATCTTCTATATACATGGTATTATGCAGCAATTGATAACACCTTTTTACAGAGAGTGGGTTGATTCAAAAGGCCTTTTTCTTCGTGAAATCAAGTCGTCTTAGTGGTAGGGTATATCGATGTAAAATATTGGTTTTTGACACCTTTTCTTGAACCCAGAAGATGGACTGTTAATACAATAGGTCTGGAATGATGTACAATACCATGTGCATTAAAGGATGATGATGATATCGATGATTATGATGACGTACAATCATGGCCTGTCTAGATGGTTAATATGGTTTTATTTTTGCTAGGAAACATCAGTATTGACCATAATATATATATATTTGGTCAATACTTATATATGTATAAGAAAGCATACAGGGCAATTTCCTTTCATAAAAAAAAGTATTTTGTTTATTATTTTTTTTTCATAATATACTCTTTCATTGAATATTTTACGGCATATCACCTATGGACGTCCTTGTTCCTCCTAGGAGGGATTTGTTAAATAAGTCAGCTTGAAAAGAAATAGAAAATTTGGTCAGCTAAAACGGACGATATTCAGTACCTATAGGTCCAACAGAACAACAACAACAACAAAAAACAAAAACAAAAAAAAAAAAAAAAAAAAAAAAAAAAAACACACGTTTTTCTAAAGACTTGTAATAATAAACTCCAGCGTAGTCTTAATGTCTTCAAGTTCTTGTAATGGGCTTCGCTTGATCACAGCGTAATCCATGTGAGACATCAGGCAAATGTAACCATGCGCGTATTCATGACTACACAGACTGCTTTGCTTACTATGCACTGACAACTTCATATAAATCTATTATAATCTATCATAATATGCTTATTGCTTAAGAGCGTATTTTAATGCACTTACTTTGAGGTGCAAACATTTATACAGTTACATGGTGAATAGGCTTGTTTTAAGTACATATAAGTACACCCTCTTCACCATGAGCAAAGATTTGATTTATTTCTTGAGTAAATCAAACTTGTGCGATATTTTCCCCCATAATTAGGCAATTGACTGATCTGTAAGTTCTCTGCAGCTAATAAATAACTTAAGTGTATGGTAAACGGGATGATTTCAGTTTTTTCATCGTCAATGTGACTTATTTATGCAGTAATAATCCAAAATCACCTGCACATGATGTTTATATCTCCCAACTGATTCGATATTCGAGAACATGGCCTGAGAACGATCTGGTTTTTTTTTAACCAAGCAAGCTACTTACAAATTAATTTATGTTACAAGGATTTCAACAACCATACCACGTTTAAATCGGTTTTAAGCAAATAATATAATCATTATTACGACCTTGTTTGTAGATAAAGACTGTTATTTGGTCGTAATTTGACTGAAATGTCCAATACTGATTATAAGGCCATTCTTGTTATACGAAGTTTGAATATAGAGTACTCCGTATACCTAATCAATTCATAGGAATCACGGCCGGTGTGACCGATCGGAGAGATATGTATACAACTCCTAGGTACCTTCACTACTGGACAAAGAAGTTTTGATAATTCCAATTTTTTCTTGAGCGTGGTAAAATAGATGTAGGGAACATTAAACCTTTAACTATGAAAAATGAAAGTCACTAACAGTAATCAAGCTCAAAAGTTCATTGAAAAAATTTTAAAAAATGGAACAGAGCAAACACGAACCTCTTAAAACATCAGAGGTGTGCCAGGTGCCATGGGAGAGTAAGCATCCCCTATCTACCTGTGACACCTGCTATGTGCTCCTTGCCATGATCAGACAAACGGGAAAATCCCTAGACAAGTCAATGTATAAATAATAATGGCCCAACAATATGAAAATCGTCAGTCAGCATTCGACCTGTGTTCCTTGTTATGATCGGGCATACGAAAAAAAATCCGTATTAATTCAGTGTAAAAATAATGACCTAACAATTTGAAATACTTTGTAAAACAGCAGTCTACATTCGACTTAATAATAGATTGTATTTGCTGACTAGGTCGTTGTATCGACCTTTGAATTTGCGAAATGTTGACTTTTTTGTAATAAAAAAATTAACAAAATCTATACTTTCAAAGTGCATAACCTTTTAAGACTTTATACAACCATTCCACACCATAATTGAAATACCAGGCTTTCTGACATCATTGATAACTTCTTTTGTAATAAGAATGGAATGGAAGAATGGAACTCTTGCCTCGTCAGTGCTCTTAAACAAAGTTACTGTTTAAAGAGCAATTCTGATTTTACATAAATTAAGTAATTTTTGAGTTGATACCAAACAGATGCATAAGTCCTCAATAACAATATCTTTGAGGTCTTTGGAGACCAGGTCGGTCTAACTCGCAAAAACATTATTACAGTTAACTATGGTTATTTTGTGATCACTGTAGATTTTTTTTTTGAGATTTCAAAGCTTATAATCTCTTCAATTCGATAACAGCGATACAAAATTTGGATATAATAACATAAATATACCAGATTTAGTTCTATTTAATATCAAAAAGTGTGCTTGTATGAGTTGGAGACCATACAATATAACAATCTGAAATCCATAGTAAAAATACTTTGATTTATTATCATTAAAACTGATACTATTGTAAAATATATTTAACTATGGTGTTTTTTGTTAGGCAATTGTGCTGTACATTGTGGCAGACCTGTTTCTTTTTTGTATTCTTGTGAGGAAGAATTTATTCAAAAAAGAAAAGAAGTATCTAGCCGTGGCTTTCAAATCGAAACTTAGATATATAGATGACATTCTCACCAATTAACAAAATTCATTTTCATTCCTACGTTGATTCGATATATCCCTTTGAACTCGAAATAAAAGACACACAGGATCTGACACATTTGTTTTATATTTGGATATTTTACTGGAAAAAGACGTAAACAGCAACCTAACAACAAAACTTCAAGACAAATGTGATGACTTTAACCTTTTTATCACATTTTCTTACTTATGTAACAATATAACATTTTCAGCTGTATATGGAGTTTATGTCTCTTAGTTGATTCAATAAGCAAGATCATGATCTACGGACGGATTTTTTTTAAACGAGGCAAGCTATATTTCATATTTGGTCATACAATGAACTTGTTTGCTAATACAAATTTGTCGCGAGCTGATGACTGAAGTCTTTCATTCATCCTTTTTTTTATTGAATTGACTTCGAATATCTCCGATTAACTGATTGTGACAAAGGGTTCGAAGCGGTTTTGACCAGTTGGCAGGGGGATATAATCCTTAGTCCTCCATGCATCTGATCCCACCTCCGATGTATTCAAAAGTCTGGGTTTGCTATAATCTCAAGTTGCATTATTTCATTGGACGTTTGAACTTGATTGTTGTTTGGTATCTTCATATTTCAATAGTAAGTTATATAATAACACTGTTATTGACAATTGCCCAGCCTAAAGTTTTGGGGGCATTCTCCCATTTGTTAAACTTTAAGTGATTCCGTATTTTCCAGACACCCACTAATTTTATCATCCAGGATCATAAACTAAACAATCTGAAGTGTAAACTATCGGTATTTTCTCTTAAATGGCTTATGTTTCCTCATTTAAAACAAGTTAAAGACATCCCTGTTATACTATTATATGGAAATTCTATATTTAGCTTATTATGTTTCTTTCATGGAGGCAAGGATACAACTTGAAAACAGAGATCTCAGAACGATAAGGGAATCAGTATGAACAAACTCTCTTTGTCTTTAATCTTAATAAAGGCCGTTATAATGAATTTGTAAACAAATATAACCTATTATTGGGTCCTATTTTGGCTGACGTCTTTCATACCAATTATAAGACATTTGTTTTTATACTAAATTTGGATACGGGGTGTTCCGTCTACCTGGTCAATACATAGGGCTCACGGGAGGATGACAGGTCAACAGGGGATGCTTACTTCTCCAAGACACCTGATCCCATCTCTGGAATTTCAAGGTGTCCGTGTTTTATGCCTTCTTCACAGATTTGAACTGTTTGTAGATTTCTGGAAATCGATCACTGTTCGTTATCTTCACCTTTTTCATTTAAAAAATGTATGTAAAACGACTCGAGAAACCTGAGGCACTCAGAAATTAGTTTAGAATATAAAAAAATCTCTCTGTCTTTAATCTTAGTGTCTTATTTGCATTTTAGTCGTCTGATGTATGAATTTATTCCTCTGTAAGTGTAAGAAGCATAATTATGAGCAATTAGTTATC